GAGCCTCTGCGAGGCCCGTGGCGGCGAGGGGCGAGCTGCCTGCCTTTGGGGAGGGGGCTCCTGGGTGAGGTGGCCCGGGGCCCGAGCGCTTTCTGCTCAGTGAAAGGCTTGATGTCCCCGGGAAGGAGACGTCTGACGGGACAGCTGAGGGGTGCAGGGGGGAGCTGAGGGCCTTCACCTCCAGTTTTATGGGGGTCTTGAGTGCATCTCGGTTGCCTGGAGGGCTTTTCCCCCGGCTAAGCTGTATTAAGATGCCAGGCAGCACCCTGCGCTGCGCCGGTCCTGCTCGCTGACGGATTCAAAATGAACAAATCCCCTTTTTTTCACCATGCAACGTGCCCTTTGCCGCGAGCTGGCGGTGGGTGCTGCTTACACCGGGTCAAGTCGGCCCGTTCTGAGGGTGGGTGCTGGCCCTGTCGCCCCCCACCCGCCCTGTGCTGCTGCCTCTTGCCTCCGCGGCGAGCGACGCTGCTGGGCTGGGCTGCGGAGCGTGGCGTTTTGAGACAAAACCCACGGGGGCTTTTCCCCCCTCTGGGTCATCCCTGGTCCTGCCCTGGATCTCCCGCAGCTCCCCGGGCAGGAGGTTGTGAAACGGTGACTCTGCCCGTGCCAGAGCTTCGCTTCGCCCGCCCGGAGCCAGAGACCAACGCTCTGCCGCAGCCCTGGCGCGTGGTTCTCGCCCCTGTCAGCAGCCGAAAGCCGCTCGCTGTTCTCGCACAGCAGTTCATTTCGGGCCGGTACCATGTGTTATAAACCATCTGGGACTTGGTCTCTTCATTGTGCTGCTCACCCTCTGCCAGGGCTTCCCCTCGGCGCGCCGGGGCTGCGTTTCAGAGACGCCCTGAGTAAACCCCAAGCGTCCGTGTTCCTCCCGCGGCCGTAATTCCCCCTTGGAAGTCGGGACGTTGTCGGTGGGGGTCGTAACGAGCAGTTGAGCTCAGACACGTCCTCCCTGGCACCTGATCTAGGCGAATATCATCACTGAGCCGTGCGGCGACTGCTAGTTGGGGGTGACCAGGGGAATTTGCCAAAGGAAATGCCGAAGATGAAATGTTTTTCTAGTCCAGAGCAAAAGATTTAGCAAACCGTGAGGATGGAGGAGTCTCT